GATATCACCTCAGAAACCCAAGAAGGGGTTGGATGAGTCGGATCCAACTCCACAGCAGTGCACTGCATTGTTGTGTTTGAACCTTCATTTTGAGAGGCTGTGGAGGAAGAATTAAACAAATACATACACACACACACACACATACACAAAAAAAGGTAATATGGTAGATAATGACGAGGAAGGGAAAGGATGACGTTTGAGACTTTAATGAAAAAGAGATAATAGCCATGCAAAGCCTCAAACAAAAGAAAAAGCAAAGGTACAAATCCTAAGGTAGGATATAAGGTTGGCATGCTCCAAGGTCAGAAACAAATGTCAGTCTTGCTGCAGAATAGTGAAGAAAAGGTAAAATGGAGGGAGAAAAGGTCAAAAAGAAAGGCATGAATCAGATCACCTAACTTGTCTGGATTTCATCATTTAGATCTGGGACTAGCAAACTTTTTCTGTAAAGGATGAAACAGAAAATATTTTCAGCTTTATGAGCCATGAAGCCTCTGCTGCAACTATTCAACTCTGCCGTTTTTGTAGCATGAAAACAGCCATAGACAGTATATAAATGAATGAAATTTATGGCTATGCTCCAATAAAAATTTATTTATAAACATCAAAATACAAATTTCATATTGTTCATGTGTCATATTATTCTTTTGACTCTTTTTCAACAATTTAAAAATGTAAAAACCACTGTTAGCTCACGAGCCACACAAAAACATGTCATAGACTGGATCTGATCCACATAACATATTTGCTCATCCTCATTTTAGTTATAAAACTCAGTAGCAGCTAATAGCATGAAATGCAAAACAGCACATAAGAAATGCTCTCAGTTAAATTTTCAACTTTGTTTTAAACAATGTCATTTTACTTTCAGAAAACGTAGACAGGAGATTATCTCCACAGTGAGCGAAAAGCAAAAACGTGACTGCACCTACCCTAGAAAAAAGCTAACCTGGGGAGTTTTCCCATCATTGCATGTTAGGATGCCCCACAGAGAGCTCCTTCAACAAATATCTAGTGAACAAGTGAATGAATAGATTCTAACCTCAGCACCTATCTATAAACTTTTGTTGCGAGAAACTAAAAGTCAAAGCTGTGTCTGCAGATTGTCCCCTATTCTACAAGGTACCTTTGTGTAAAACAGAAAAAGACATTCCACTCCACCCCCATCAGGGAAGCATACACCCTTGGACAGTGCTACTTCTTGAACTATTCTGAGGAGATGAGAATTGTTTTCTAAAGAATCTTCCCCTCACCCCAGACATATGCAACACTGTGAATATAAGTAGATGTCACCATTGTACAAAGAGGGTGTCCCTCCCTGTGGGTAGACTCAGCCCTACACTAGGGCCATGGCTAGGCCAACTGAGCACAGACTATACTTCAGACCCCACTTGATCACAGGCACACAGCCACAAGCAGTTGTTGTTGTTGTTAGGTGCCAACAAGTCGGCTCCAATTCATAGCAACCCTAAGTACCACAGAACAAAACACCAACTGGCCCTGAGATGATCAACGTCTATTTTGGCTCTTGTGGACTTGTTTTACTTGTCTTCAGCTTTAACTTGAACTTGC